TTTTTTTTACTGCAAATTTTCTTGCAAATGTTCACGTTTCCAGTGTAAGTCATTAAAAAAGATATTCAAGAAAAACTTGGCTTGTCTAATGTGAAAGAATGGTATAATTTACAAAAGAAATAAAATAAAATAAATATATATTTCCACCTAAAAGATGAAATATGCTTCGCTGGGTTTAAAGTCGGCAGGATAATCCACAACTGAACCCTCACCTGGGGCTGCTGTGACCACGCTCTGATTCTTCTTCGGGCCTCATGATGGTCGCTGACCAGGAGACTGGGACCAATACTCATGGGTGATGCTATTTTGTAGTCACTCTGTCTGCTGGCTGATAGGTGGCCAACCAGGCAATTTGTCTTTTGATTTCCTGACTGCTGGTGCCAAAAGTGTTAATTGTGGAGCCAAGCAAGATGAAATTGTTAACAGCCTCAGTTTCTTCTCCGTCTATCATGGTTTTGCCAGTTGGCTCAGAGGTGAAAATTTTTGTTTTCTTGATGTTGAGCTTCAATCCATAGTGAAGACCACAGTCCTTGATCTTCTGCAGCAAACACTTCAAGTCATCCTTAATTTCACTAAGTAAGACTGTGTCATCTGCATATCACAGGTTGTTGATGACTCTTCCTCAAATCCTGATGCCACATTCCTCCTCATAAAACTCCTGAATGATCTGCTCTGCGTACAGATTGAAAAGGTCTGGAGACAGGATGCCTCTCTGATGCACTCCTTTCCCGATTTTGAACCAAACAGTGTTTCTTTGCTCTGTTCTGAGTATTGCCTCCTGGTCCAAGTATAGGTTTCACATGAACACAATCAAGTGTTCTGGGATCCACATTCTTCTCAAGATTAGCTACAATTTTTTGTGATCCATATAGTCAAATGCCTTTGCATAGTCCATGAAAAACAGATAGCCTGATACTCTTTGCTTTCAGCCAGAATCCATCTGACATTGGCAGTATTGTCTCTAGTGCCACAGCCTCTTCTACACCCAGCTGGTATTTATGGTAGTTTTCTGTCTATAGTGTTCCAGTCATTTTTAGATAATCTTCAACAGGTTTTTGCTTGTGTGTGATATTAGTAATAATGTTTGATAATTTCCAAGCTCTGTTGGATCATCTTTTTTTGGAATGGGAATAAATATGGATCTCTTCCAATCAGTATGCCTCACATACTTTGGCTATGTTGCTAGGAGGGTCTGTTCTTGGACAAGGACATGATGCTTGAAAGGATGAATGGTCGGCACAAGACAGGAAGACCCTCGAGCAGGTAGATTGACAAGGTGACTGCTGCAGTGGGCTCTAGTGTGTCAGGAAGTGTGAAGGTGACACGGGATAGGACAAGGTTTAGATCTGTTGTCAGTAGGGTTGCTATGAATCATGCTCAACTCGATAGCACTTAATAACAAAAATAACTTTCAGTCAGTCGGCCAGGTAGTTACAGTCCAGGTTTCTTGACACAACCTGGTGATCACATCCAGGGCAGCAACTGTTTCTAAAATATGTCAGTTGGTATCCCATCAATTCCTGGGACCTTGGTTTTTGCCAGTTCTTTCAGAGCAGCTTGACTTCCTCCTTCTTCACCATTGCCTCTTGATAGGTATGTTGTTTCATGAAATTCTTCTGTGTCATTTCATAAGATTCTTCTGTGTCTGCCAGTTCTTTTCAGTAGAGTGACTCTTTGTACTTCTCCCATTTTTTATGCTTCCTGGGTCAAATTCAGTCATTCTTTTTAGTCTATATAACTTAATTTTGAAGATTCTAAAAGGTTTTGTTTTTCTGGCACACTTGAGCCCATGGCTGCAATCTCTGTGTGTCCACCTGGTTAAGGATCTTCCTTTCCTTCACCATCCCTCCGCCTTTCCAAGCATGATGTATAGCCTCTTCTAGCAATACAACGTATATGAGGCTTCTTGTCTCCAGGGAGCACTCTGGGCTGTACCTTCTCTAAGACATATCTGTTTGTTCTTTTGACAGTCCATGGGATATTCATTACTCTTCTCCAACACCTTCATTCAAAGGCATCACTTTTTCTTTTGTCATATTTACTCACTGTCCAGCTATTAGCGGCATAGCAAGTTATTGAAAAGACCATGGTCTGAATCAGGTGCACTGTAGTCCTAAAACTATCATTGTTCCTCAGTAATTTGGAGAGGTCTCTGACTGCATACTTTCCCCATTGCAAAACATCTCCCAATCTCCTAACTGCTGGTACTAAGTGTGTTGATTGTTGATCCAAGTAAGATGAAGCCATTGACAGTCAATCTTTTCTCCATCTATCATCACATTCTTGGAAGGAGGAGTGGCATCCACTTCCATAATAGCTTGCCTCTGGAAACCCTGTGAACCTGGAGAGAGGATGAAAGGCACCCAAGCGTCGAGGACTCTCCTTCATAGGGTTGCTGTGAGTCGCAATGGCACTTAATAACAACAACAACATCATCACATTGCCTGATAGTTCAGTGGTGAAGATTTTTTGTTTTCTTGGTGTTATGATGCAGTCTTTATTAAAGGCTACATTGTTTGATCTTCTGCAGCACGTACCTTAAGGTCCTCCTCATTTTCAGCAAGCAAGGCCGTATCATCTGCATACTGAAGGTTATTGATGATTCTTCCTCCAATCACAACTCTCCTTCATAGGGTTGCTGTGAGTCGCAATGGCACTTAATAACAACAACAACATCATCACATTGCCTGATAGTTCAGTGGTGAAGATTTTTTGTTTTCTTGGTGTTATGATGCAGTCTTTATTAAAGGCTACATTGTTTGATCTTCTGCAGCACGTACCTTAAGGTCCTCCTCATTTTCAGCAAGCAAGGCCGTATCATCTGCATACTGAGGTTATTGATGATTCTTCCTCCAATCCCAATGCCACATTCTTCTTCATAGAGTGCACCTTTTCAAATAATTAGCTCAGTGTACAGATTGACTAAGTAAGGGGAAAGGATATAACCTTGACAGCGGCCTTTCTTAATTCTAAATCATGTAGTGATCCCTTGCTCTGTTTGTACAATAGCTTCTTGGTTTAAGTGTTGGTTTCACAGGAACACAATATTTGTGCTCATAATCAATATGGAGGGAGGGAAAAACCTCAAGCTCCCTGTCATTGAGTAAATTGTGACTCAGAGCAACCCTCCACTGCATTTCTGAGGCTATAAATGTTTATGGGAAGAGGCTACCCATCTCTTCCCCACCCTAACCTCGTATTGTATTGGAGGAGACAGCCTCATTTTTCCCTCACGTAGAACACTGTGCTCTACACCCTCTTCACAGTTAATAACACTTAATGACAGTTATACACTATGTCACCATGACTCCTTTCATATAGAAAAGTTGGACTTAATCTTATCTTATTCCTTTATCTTGGAAAAGTTGGACTTAATCTTAACTCCATTAGCCTGGAAAAGTTGGACTTAAACTTATCTTTCCCAGGATGATAGGGTACTTTAGCTTTTTCACGTTGAGTATGATTCTTTTGTATTATGTGGTAACTCTGAAAAATGTCTGGAATCTGGGTTGACTCCATGACCACATTGTAAACTCAGACCTGCTTCTGTTGCATCAGTTCTGATTCATAGCAGCCCTCCAGTTTCTGAGTCTGTAAAACTTTAAGGGAGAATCCTGCCCTTGTACCACTGGAATTTTAGTAGCATCATAATACCTAACACATTCCTGGAAATTACTTGTGTTTTTTTGTATTTTTCCCTCAAATCCCCAGTGATAACTTCTTTTTTTTTTTACTTTTTTTTTAAAAATTTTGTTATTTGTGTGTACCATCAAATCAGATCTGACTGGTACAGGAGGGGATTGTCCCTCCTTCCCTGGCACAGCATCTGGTGGATTCGAACCGTGTGCCTCTGGGATTGCAGTGCAGCTTCTTGCCACTAGGCCACCAGAGCTCCCCCAGTGATAACTTCTTATCTTTACCAGTATAATGAAATAAAATGAAAGAGGATAAAGCCAGTTAATTAGAATTATCATTTAACCCAGGTTAACTATATATCTGTAAAAATATCCAAAGAAGTATCTAAATCTGATTTTTTTCTTAATTTCATCTAA